CAGGGCCAGGGGAAACGAGGGAAGGGGGTGGTGTGGTGGGAAAGAGGCAGTGGGGAAGCAAGGGGGATGGGATAGGGCAGAGGGAAGAGAAGGGTATAGGGGAATAGGACAGAGGGGAGAGGGCTGGGGCAGGGGACAATGGGGAGTAAATTTGCAAAGCTGTATTAAGTCAATACGCAGTTGTAAACTTTTGAAAGAACAACCATATTTTGTTCAGCGTTACGAACAACCTCCATTCCCCAGGTGTTCTTAACTCTGAGGTTCTACTGTAAGAAGTCGCAGGCCTAATTGGGAACGGCTCAATTTCTCTACTAAAATCTGTGAAATGGACAGCAAAATGGACTCCAAACTAGTCCTGTGTCAAATATACAAGGAATCCCCAAAACAGGCTGAACGAGGTCCTTTTTTTGGGGGGGGGGGGGAATGCCCATAATACACCCCGTTCTGGCCCCAAACACCTATTTCAATTGAGTAGCTATTTACTCCCTCTGGAGTCTGTACAAGTGTCCAGCAATGGAGTGAAGTAACTGGACTACTCGCTGGAGAAAAGACATCAGAATCTGGCCTGCTACTCAGAGCTCTAAATATAGGCCTGGGTGCTAGCGTTAGATCATAGCGATTCTCATTTAGCACAAGTAGTAAAGACCTATAATTTGGAGCGAACAGTCAGGAACCGTATACCCCGAGCTGCATTTATGTGGCTTAGGGTGGCGACACTGGTGTCTGCTGAAGTGTCCAGCAAGTGGATTTAAGTCAACAGGACTATTCATGGAGTAAGGTGCTAATCAATGCAAGTCAAGGTATTGGAATCTTGCCCTCTGCTCTCGGCTACACTCATGCAGAATTATCCCTACAGGAGTGAGGTGCCTAACTCCCAGATAACTTGCATCCTGTATGTAAAATGCACATGCTGAAAAACAGGACTGGGAATGGACATCTCCTTTGCTGTTACTGTTCTCTGGATTTTGTCACTTGTCTGGAATTGCCTCTAAAATTGGCACATAGGCTCCACAAAGATTATAACGTTAACAAAGCTAGGAGTGATTCTCTCAGGCTTCGACTGAATAATTGACAAGGCTACCTCGTAATGGAAAGAGTTCTAATGAAAATAGCCAAGTGATGTAAAAAATATGCTCTGTTTAGAAAAACTAATTTGACCACAAAGTCACATTAAACAGAGAGGTTTCAGATGGCAGAAACATTGAAAGGACAGACAAATATACATAAATATTTGGAATGATTTAGAACTGTGAAAATTGTTCTTCACCTCTCTTACTACACACATGTTGGGGTTCAGCTCGGAGATCTTAAGAGTTACAGAACATTGTTTCAATGCTAAGTTTTATTTTAAAGTGGATGGTTAACAGGATAAAAAAATATGACTGAAGCAGTCACTACAGTCAGGTACAAGTTTTAGCCACCGGCCCCCTAGTGGAGGATAGAGAGAAACTAATTTACTGGTGAATTATCCCATACTTGCTTGCTCATTGGCACCAGCAGATGAAGAATGCAAGCGAGGACAGAATTCAGTACCACTACACCTCACTCCAGAACCTGTTACTAAATGCAACTGACTAGTATTCTGCAACCCTAGTTAATTTCTCTCCATAGCAGAGGCAATATTGAGGTGAAGGAGCTGAATCTCTCTCTGATGCTGCTGACCTGAGCTTGACAGAATTAAACACAGAAAGACTTCAAAGATGACATACAAGCAGAGAGACTGAAATCCTGGCTCTCCTGAAGTTAATGGCAAAATTCTCAGGGACTTGTACGGGGACAGGATTTCACACATATTGTCTAAATTGACTTGCAATTGACTAAGAAGATTAGCTATATTCCAGCCTCCGATATTTGTACAAGTGAATTCAAGAGAACTTTTGCCAACAGGAGTAATTCCATGAGCATACGGAATTTGTTTTGTAAACTACAAAACAAAGTTAGAGCATATTTTCTCACCGTGGTTAGAGCTTGCCACGTTCTTTGGAATAATGGATCAACTGACTAGCACTCAATGCTATCAACTTCTTAAAGCTTACAGGCAAGTGGGCTGAAAAGCCAACAGGTGATGATGGCATCCAGTTGTTTGTGTGTTTTTAAGTCTTAATGCTGATAAATATTGAGGATGCTTCCAGCAAAATTCTCAAAACGTCACCTTTATTTGTGCATGCACAACTCTTCCCATGCAAACGTGATTTTTGTGCTCTATCACCCATTCATGGGCAGAGACGGAGTTCCAGTCAACTCTGAGAGTGTAAGTTCTACCAGCGGTGTGTACAAGGGACCGTGCACAAAAAACCTTTGCACGAGTGAACTGTGCACACGTAACTGCCAGCACAAATGCAGTAGACAGGTTGGCTGCTCTTGAGAAATTCCCCACGGCTGTCCAACAGAAAGTTAAATGCTTGAGTATTGGCCAGACAGGCACACAACTAACAGCACCAACAAAGAAAACTCTTTTTCTGCAGTGTGAAGATATTTTATTTACAGTACATACTTAGTGCTAAATCCTGCTTTTACAATATATGTACATACTGGGCTTCTGCAGAGTGCAATGGGAGCCTCACTTACATCAGAAGAATGTGTTATTGGTGCTGTGCAGCGTGTTGGAATGTGGTCATAGTCAACGGCAACGAAAACTAATCTGTCTTGCTATTCTGTGATTGGTAAGTTTACAGTGGTCACCTTTACAAACTTTTCAGTTTCCTCTGTAGCTAAACATTACCAGAGTATTCCTTATAGTATAGTAGGTTGAAGGAACACTAAGGGCTGGTCTACACTGGGGGGGGTGGGGGAGGGGGCGCCCTTACTATGACACCCAAAAGGAGGAGGAGAGCGTGTGGTGGGGGAGTCCTCTACATTTTCTACCCACGGGGGGAGGAGGTTTAGGTCCGCATAGCTGTGTCTCTCAGGATTGTGGATTTTTCACACTTGAGAGATGTAGTTATGCCAATGTATATTTGCACTGTAGACCAACCCTACGTGTCAGAGCCCAGCTTTGCAGAGGTAAGGGCTGTGTAAGCATCCCCTCAAATGCTTGGCCAATACACTTCAATCCTGACTTAAAATGCCCCTGCTTCTGCAGCCTTGGGTCTCTTGGCTGTCAATAGTGCAAACTTGCATGCTGGTAATGGTCATATTGTGAGGTGGAACAAACTACCCAGGAGAGGGACATGAATGTGGCTACAGATGAAGTCACCAAACTCCTTTGTGACTTGGAACTGGGATTTGAAGCTATGCTGTCAAAGAGGGAAAGGTCAGTGTGTTTATCCTTTGTACAAATGTAGATATCATTGAAGACACCATCACTAGAGATAGGTTTCAGAGTAGCAACCGTGTTAGTCTGTATCCGCAAAAAGAACAGGAGTACTTGTGGCACCTTAGAGACTAACAAATTTATTAGAGCATAAGCTTTTGTGGACTACAGCCCACTTCTTCGGATGGATCACTAGAGATGCGCAAGAGTCACAATATTTGGATCTGGGTCCATAACTTCTCAAAGGTTGGGGATGTTTGGATCCGAGGTTTTACATTTGCCCATTACAGAGGGTTTCATCTGGGAAGGTTAGATCTGAATCTGGATGCTAACTCGCCCAATGCTCAGGAAAGTTCCCATCCTGGGTTTTGGTTTGGTGCCTTCCCTCTAATCACAATCTTCATCACTCTGAAAATTGTAATTAGAATCCAAGGATAAGGGGGAAAAAAGTGTTGATGGATAAGAGGGAATATCCCCCTGTGACACATGACCAGAAAGGGTTAAGCATCCTTCAGGATGAATAATTCAAATTTAACCCTTAAAAACATATGGGGAGACAATGTTTGTGTTTTTGTGTATTTACATATATATGGGTAGAGATCAACAATGTAATCAACAGTCCCTGTCTATGCTTTATTCTGTTAATTCAGAGATCAAAAGAAATTCTTAACATTTAAATGAACTGCAAACCTAGGATATAGCTGTATTCATCTCTCTTTGAAATGTACAGCCAATCATCTGTGAATGGTGGAAAAACAGGCAATTGCCGTATGTGGATAATTACCAGCGATGCTTAGGAAATGAGTGTCTATTGTTTATGGAGGGACTCCAGGCTGTCACAAGAAGGCCTGAGACTGTATAAAATGCAGGACCAGCTCTAGGCACCAGCAAAGCAAGCATGTGCGTGGGGTGGCACAATTCCAGGGGCGGCATTCTGGCCATTCTTTTTTTTTGCTTGGGGCGGCAAAAAACCTAGAGCCGGCCCTGATAAAATGGGCTTGGGTCCTGGTCCTGTCATCTCGGATCTGCTTGAGGCTTCATGCAGGGGAAGCCTAAGTCATAAGGAGTGAGATCCCAGTGCTGACTGGCCCTCCCTGAATACAAACATTGGACTATAACCTATGGACTTAATTCTGAAAGAACTCTGCAACTACAAAGCTCACCATCTCTCCTATGAATCTGAATCTCAGAACTGTACTCATGTCTGTGTGTATACTGATCTTTTAACCAATGCTCTCTCTCTTTTCTTTTTTAATAGATTTTATTTTAGTTTATATGAATTGGCTGTAGCGTTTATTTGGGTAAGATCTGGAATATTCATTAACCTGGCAGATAATGTGTCTGATCCTTTGGGATTGGTAGAACTTTTTATATGATGAATAAGATTTTCAGTAATCTTCATCATACTTGACTTGGGTATCTGGGTGGAGGCCTGAGGCTGGGTTACTTTAAGGGAACTGTGTTGTTGGCTTCTGGGTAACCAGTGAGGTATAATAGAAGCTGTTTTGTGCTGGCTTGGTAAATCTAAGTATTGGAATATCCACCAGCTTTGGGGATTGTCTGCCCCATTCTTTGCAGTTCACCCCAATTGAGTGACCTCAGTTGGCTCCCCTGGGACCCCGGTCACATCCTCACCCCTATTTTGATGTGAAAGAGCACTGACACTCAGCATGGAAATGCAAACTGAAACAACATGCATGTGGAATGACCATGCAAGAGAAAGCAAAGATAAGCAGTTGAAAAGTACCTCGGAAGTAACCTTGTTAGACAGTAATTTACAGGTGTACTGGTGGAAAGGAAAAGACCAGCATTAGTACATTGAACAGACGTGTTGAAGTTGGAAACAAAAAAACTGGGAACAGAACTTGAAGCAGTTTGGACCTGTTTAAGAGGTTAGTTAATGAATTTGTTTTTAAATGAAGTTGCTTAGCCAATTGCCATCATGTTTACTCTTATTGGTCAAACTATTTCAGTCATGCTGCTTGGCAGCGAATGAGGTATCCTCTTCCCATCGTCTCCCGCCCAGTGGCTTCTTCTTTGGAAGACACAGCTAGAGAAAGAGAATAACATTTTCTCCCCTTATGAAGCGAAGTCTTTCAAATGGCAAATACACTGGATTTGACCATTGTCAAAGCAGACTGCTCTGACCTGAAAGACAAAAGCTGACAATGCCTACAGGAGCTGCCATGTTGAAGAATAGCACACTGAAATTAGAGCAAAACAAAGCACCTTCTTGTGCCACTGGAGCAGGGCGCACCCAAGGCCCTGATCCTGCAAACACCGATTTTACTGTCATTTATTATGTGCTGCAGGACTTATGCATGTGGTTAATTTTAAGCACACAAATAGTCCCATCTTGCATACGTTAGTGTTTGTAGGACTGGGACTGGAGTCTGTTCAGCTTTGCTCCCTTCTGTGTTAGCCAGCAGAAAGGAGCATTTGACCCAATAGAACTTTTCTTCCAACAATTTTGAAAGTCTCTCAATTTCCTTGCATTCAGACGGTGAGCAGAGGTCTGCTCTACATGATCGGATTTTCAAAATGGCAGCTGCCTGTTTGCCTGTTAATTATGCTTTTTTTCAGTATATTGTAGACACTTGAAAATGGTTCAGTGATTTGCTCTCGTATGTAATTAGATCCAGCTCTCTTTTGCCTGAAACTGCATTTTAAAAGCCTCTGCTGACAAATCAGAACTAGTGGTTGTTTAAATAATTATTGCTTAGCCTGGCACATAAAATATTGTCTCTAACTAAGGCTGGTGCAAGCTTAGCATGGCAAAGCTACATCTTTATCATGTCATTTCTTATCCACCCCCCTTCGCACCCCCGTTTCAGGAGTAGTTTACACAAGGGAAAAGGAAAATATAGGGAGGAGAAAGAAAATATTCCAGCTGTTTACTGGAGGCTCACTCTGGTCTTACAAACACAGCCCTATGATAGGATTTTAGACAAGCAGAAAGGGGAACATAAATACATTTAAAAAAAAATTGGCTTCAGATGAGCTTCCGGAAAATGAGAATGAAAATAAAACTGGGCCAGACCTTTAGTGGGGGGGGTCAATCAGTGTAGCTCCTTTAACTTCAATGGAGCTACATCAATTTATCCAAGTGCAGGATCTGGTGCACAATTTGTTTGATGGTACTAATTGTATGGCAGTAATAGTGTTATCATCACTGAGCCGCCGTGATACACAGAGTTCTGTCTCTATGGCGTGATGTTCTTCATTTGGACCAAAGTTCTCAGTTAAGACACAGAAGCGCGTTTCAAACACAGACAAACAATCTTGGCCAACTTCTTTTCGAGAAGGCACCTCTACAACCCCACTGACTTCAATGGAGATGCACTGGCGTAACTAAACAGTGTCTGGCCCTCAGCATCATGACATCTCTATGAGAGTAGCAGCACTCACATGTACTACATGGTTAACCACATACAGCAGGGGACAATGTAATGACTGCAACAAAGAATTGCAGTCATAAGCCATTGCTTGGTAAGTCACCTGCACCCATCAGTGCTACAAGGATGAGCGTGCAATCAGTCTTCATGCCTTAGCAAAGCAACTTCTGAACAATATCAAGATCTAAAGCAAAAAGGCTGATGGAAACAAAGTCCGAAGTTATTAAGGCCACATAAGGACTGATTCTCCTCTCCCTTATGCTGGTTTTACTTCACTAACTTAAATGAAGTTACTCCTGGGTTATACCCAGAGAAAGTGAGAGAAGAATGAGGTCCCAAATCTCTTGAATGAAAGGCTTGACAGCATCATTCAACAGGCATTAGCACAGCAATATACACGAGGGGAAAATCCTAACAACACCCAATGAAAACTATCCACTTGCACCCAGAGGATAGAGCCCATTGGACAGTCACCTCTTCTGAAAGAGGCAGAGGACACCGGCGAGTAACTCATTCTTGAGACATGTCCTCACTGTAGAAAGGCAACAAGCCAAGTTAGCAAAGTTTCTCGTGTCAGATGAAGTCCCTAGAAGCAGGTGAGCGGAGACTACTCTCGCGTCCTACGGGGGAAGCCTGTTTACGGGCTGGATCCTGCTCCACGAAATCAATGGCAGTTTTGTCACTGACTTCAGTGGCAGCAGGCTCAGACCCTAAGATCTGTCCGCACTTCAAACCCACCCTTCTATCTTGCATTAACTTACAACCAAAAATGGAGTGGGATCTTTTTACATTTCACTGTTTCTAATCTGAAGTCTCAGACTCTGTTGATATAATGTTGAACACCAAAGATTAAAACCCAACATATTCTGTAGGCTACTGTTTGTAGTATGAACTTTAAAGACTATAGGCCTGGTCCCCACTAAGCCCCCACTTCGGACTAAGGTACGCAAATTCAGCTACGTTAATAACGTAGCTGAATTCTAAGTACCTTAGTCCGAACTTACCGCGGGTCCAGACGCGGCAGGGAGGCTCCCCCGTCGATGCCGCGTACTCCTCTCGCCGAGCTGGAGTACCGGCGTCGACGGCGAGCACTTCCGGGATCGATTTATCGCGTCTAAACCAGACGCGATAAATCGATCCCAGAACATCGATTGCCTGCCGCCGGACCCTGCGGTAAGTGTAGACGTACCCATAGTCTTAACAGGGCTGTACCTCTAGTGGAAGTGCTTAGAAGGTGGTTTCCTTTGATTATGACTCCTTGGATTGGGATTTCAGAGTAGCACCATGTTAGTCTGTTCTTTTTGGATGGGGATTGTTTTTCTTAAGTGTTTGAAAAGAGTCTGGCGCATTGTGGGTGCTAGAGCAAATACAAAACAGCAACGGCCAATTGTAACCACTAACAATAATCATATACATGTAAGGGTTTATACTACCCATCTCTCCTACCCACACAGCATTTATGCTCACAACAGTCATGAGCGGCACCTTTGTAAAGTCCCAGTGATATGATGGGAGAACAGTTTGCTTACTGTATGCATCTGAAGTCTGACAGTCATTAACCATGAAATTTATACCCATTCCGCTACTCTGATGACCATCTGAACATCAATGTTGGTAGTTCAAAAACTTGAACTGCAGGCACTTACATGAAGAACTCAGAGCAGAGTTTTTGTCAATTTCCCCTTTCTGCTTGTAGGAAAGAACAGAATAGACTCAATGGGAAACAGCATTCTGTCCACTGTAAGTCCAGGATCCCATTCCACAAGTTCCTATCCAGATCCTGGAGCAACCCAAGAAGATATTGCCCTCAGGGGATCCATCCTAGGTCTTACACTGCACCCAGAGCATACTGGGATAGGACTTTGGGAGTCTAATGAGTGCTGGGTGAATACATGTAGTGCACAGCTATGAGCAATAAGGCTCATACTGCAGTTACATAGTTCATTGCAGGATTTCAGTGAGCAGTGAATTCACATGTGATCCTCTGATCACAGAGGGCAACTAGGCAGAGTTTATTATTATACGATTGCCACTATGATTGATCGATTTCCCCCCCTTCAGATAAACTGATCCTGTAGTTTCTTTATTTTTTTTTAAATTCTTTAAACATCTTTAAGGCACTCAGCGAGTCATTCTCAACAGAACAATTGATCTTTAAGAGGCCAAATTTTGTCCTATCAACCACAGCGCTCTGCCTGTCGTGAAACACACACTGAAGAGGGGAAGGGAAGAGTGTACTTACACTGCTGTCATCCATCCTCTCACGCCTCTTAGTTTTGTGTGTTTCATAATCCTCCATGAGGGTCTGCAGCAAATTCTTGGGCCTCTGGGATCCTGCAGCCTCGTCAGGCAGTAAATCAGACTGGGAGAGGGGACCTTCTGTTGTCGGGGATGGAGGAGGCCTGATCTTCTCTATCGTCCCTGCAACGACATGAAGGGACCCCTTTCTAAATGGACAGATTCCCAAGTAGTTTCCAACTGAAGACACAGCTTGCAAAAGGAACGAGTTGGAGCAATATTTCCAGTGTGGCTTGAACAGAGAGAAATACTGAAACGTAGTCTACAAAATAATGTTTTGAAACAAACATGGCCAAAGTGAGTTTCAAGTCCCTCCTTTTCCCCCTCCCAGGCCAGACTTACACAAACATTTAAGTGATCTTATTTCATAACACCTAGCAAAGCTGTCAAGTAACATATATACGAATCTACCCTATCACTGCTCATTACTAGAGCTCTGGTTAAATCACCCCAACCCCTAATGACTCACTTCTGTGCTCTGGACATACATGCAAGCTTATGGAAACCGCTGGACTTATTTTTATTGAATCAGACACCCAAAAAACTGCACAGTGTCACAGTGCAGAGGGGCCCAAACTGTGTTCTATGGAGCACTTGCAGTTCAAGAAGGGCTGTCCAGTTACATGGTTGTGGCTCCTTCTTGTTTCCAGCTGCTAAATTGCATGAAAAGAGGTAAAAATATCTTTGATACATTTCCTAGTATTTCTTTTCCATGCAACTAGTTGCTGGTCCGTGTGACGGTGAGTGGGAGGGGAAGGTGATCTGTGAAACACGCTCTCTATTAAGATGTAGTCCGGGTGAGGGAAGAGTTTGTGAACCCCATGTCCACTGGTTAGATGAAAACACTGGGAGCCAGGATGAATTCAGGCTGTAGCTCTGACAGGACCGCTTGCTCACTAGGCAACGTGCTCATGACTTAACTACCCTAGCTGGAGAACTGGGTACAAAGCAGGCACATGGGGAAGACTGATCCTACAAGAAGACTGTTGCTACAGCTCTGTATACTGTGTGACCCCTCCAGATTCAGCCAGTGCCGCCCAGAGGATTCAGGGGGCCTGGGGCAAAGCAATTTCAGGGGCCCCTTCCATAAAAAAAAGTTACAATACTATAGAATACTATATTCTCGTGGGGGCCCCTATGGGGCCTGAGGCAAATTGCCCCACTTGCCCGCCACCCCCGGGCAGCCCTGGGAAAAATAAACATTTCCACATTTCAGCACAAACCCAGTTTTGCCAAAACTTCTTTTCAAGTCACCTTTACAAGGTATCACTGGTTCCCAGCATCAGCTAGTGATAAAAGGCACTAAAGCTCATTAAAAGAGTTGGACAAATACTTTCCGTCAAAAATTTTTTTGGATCGAAAACTATGGGTGTTTAAAAAGCAGAAAAAAAATCACGGACAATGTCTGCTTTCCTTCAAAATTTGTTGTGGTTTTTTTAATTGAAAAGCTGAAATTAGTCTGTCAAAACCTGAACATGGTTTGGGGTTTCAGAAGTGTGTGGCCAAATATTTGCTGCTTGCTGTGTTTGTTTAAAGAAACAAAAAAATTCTGCTTAAAAAAACCCCCAAAACTTTTGAACCACCTCAGCTTGTGACCAAACGCCTGAGCCCATCCAGTCAGAGATTTTTCCAGGTTTCTGATACTCTGCTGGCTTCCTTGACTCATATCTGTCTCCATAACTTTGGGTTCATTTAGCTTAGAACATAAGAACGGCCTTACTGGGTCAGACCAAAGGTCCATCCAGCCAGTATCCTGTCTGCCGACAGTGGCCAATGCCAGGTGCCCCAGAGAGAGTGAACCTAACAGGTAATGATCAAGTGATCTCTCTCCTGCCATCCATCTCCACCCTCTGACAAACAGAGGGACACCATTCCTTACCCATCCTGGCTAATAGCCATTAATGGACTTAACCTCCATGAATGTATCTGTTTCCTAGAGACTGGCTCCACGGGGTCCCTCACAAACTGGAGACGGTTACTGTGGGTTTGTCTTTAGTATAGACTATGTACATACTCCATGAACTGAGCATTTGAGCTTGTTCCAGAATCTGGGATGAGCCTATGTTGTGAAAACTGAAATGCTCAAAATAGCACATGCCTGTGAATGGACACAGGGTGCTAAAATTAAATTAACCCAGGGGTTTTCAAACTGGGGGTCGGGACCCCTCAGGGGGTCACGAGGTTATTACTGGGGGTTGCGAGCTGTCAGCCTCCACCTCAAACCCCGCTTTGCCTCCAGCATTTGAAATAGTGTTAAATATATAAAAAAAGTGTTTTTAATTTATAAGGGGGGGGGGGTCACACTCAGAGATTTGCTATGTGAAGGGGGTCAGCGGTACAAAAGTTTGAGAACCACTGAATTAACCCCTCTGGAGCCTCAGGGAATGCAGTGGACGGTTGGGAGGTAGGTGGTGTAGGATATTGCTCTTCTCGTGGGGTCCCCTGTGGGGCCCGGGGCAAATTGCCCCACTCCCCCCCACCCCACCCCGGGGCGGCCCTGGATTCAGCTGCGGACCTGAGGCTTTCATTCTCCAGGCTGGCAGATGCTGGAAGGTCTCCTGGGAAGAGAGGTTGTATCTTATGTCACCAGGCAGCAACTCCTCTGGCTGACTCAAGGGTAGTGTCAACAGGCTGGGAGGAAGCCCTGTCTAGCCTTCCTCATCTGAAAGGATGAGGACCATGACTGCAAACCTCAGGCAAGAAACTGAAGAGCTTGGAAATAAGGACTTCAGGGCAGCGAGAAGAGGGTGGGGCTCTTTTACAGGAAGCAAAACAAATAAAGGAGAATTCTTCTGTTTAAACCTAAATATAATCAGCTACAGTGGGGAAAGGAAATGTAGAGAAAGTCACACTAACTTTCCCCTAGATGTGGAGGCTTTTTAAAACAAAACCACACACAGAAACAAATGGGGTTAATTAGAAGGATTGCGAATGGATTTTCAGTTGTTCCTTTGCTGAGACAAATCAAAAAGCCAGTAACTCACAGAACAAGTCACGGAAAGCTACGGCCACCAGAGGTCTCACACAGCAAATCAATGCATGCTGTTCAGAAGCTCTAGGCTCTCTTTTAAAAGAAAGAAATGAAATCTGAGCAAAGCCAACAGAGACCTTTAACAAGAAATCCCCTTGCTGGGCTTGGTTCATTTCTGACCCAACACGGAAAAACCCAACAACACTGATAGGTATAATGTTACAAGTCACAAATACCGAGAATCATCTGGAAACTCCATCCCCAAACCTACTGGGATGTCCCTAGAAATTGCAACGGGTCTCTGAGGCTTGTGGGATTTTCTATGCCATGGGATTAGAGTCTCATCTTGAGTAACTCCACAGACATCACGGATTTGTCTCGACGTAACAGAGCTCAGCATGAGGCCCTGGCTAGCTAGGGCTTGGGGTGTCCAAAAGAAGAGAATAAAAGCAACTCCCAACGACTGACGGAACTAATGGAAAATCGTGTCTGTGTTAAAAGTGAAAAGTTCAGGGCTTGATTCCCCACTGCATTTGAATGCTGGTGTTAAGTCCCTTGGGCACACATGTGTACTGCAGGGATGAATCAGGCCCTCACTGTTCCCAGCAAGGTCTTTTGTGATTTCTTCCTCAGGCATAAACACCCTGTCACTTTAACAAACCCTCAGAGCTGTACGAAATGCTCATAACTGAAAGCGGCTCCTTCCACCCCCAAACAATCTCAATCTTGCCGCCTGCTGGAAAACCCCGCAAGGTGGAGGCTTTGGGGATCTGATCAGAATTAAACAAAAGAAACATCGCCAGGTATTTCCCATCCAGGTGGGCCTGCCTCTGCCTTGCCAGGAGCTCTCCATAAACATCCACAAAGTCACTTCAGTTTTCTCCTTCAAATCCCTCCTTAAAACTCTCGTTTGCAGTGATGCCGACACAAATCTTGACAACAGTTAGGATGCTGGTCTGCTGTGACCGCAGTCTATCATGCTGACCAGTGCAGTCTCATTGTTTCCTTGCAGAATGTTGTCTGCATTCATCTGCTGTCTCTTATTTTATACTTGTATTGTAAGCTCTTTGGGGCAGGGAATGTCTTTTTGTTCTGTGTTTGTACAGCGCCTAGCACAGTGGGGGGGCCTGGTCCATTACCAGGGCTCCAAGGTGCTACGATAATACAAATAATAAATTCCTATATTGCCACTAGGAGCCCATCCAGGAAAGCGTACCGTTACATGTACATTTCACTGCAGTATCATCATTATTCCCGTTTTCTAGATGGGGAAACTGAGACAAAGAGGTGCAGAGACTTGCCCAAGGTCACATGGTGGCTTTTACAGTCCTTTTAAAAAGCAATCTAAGAAATCCAGAAAGCGTGCACTGCTTGTGATCCAACGATAACAAACCAGAACAAAGGTATTTGCTGACACATGGGCCTGGGTTGCCAGCTGGCGCTCGTGTGACATGGCTTGGCTTCATGTGCCTCTGTTCAGTTCTTGTGTAAAGGCTGCAAAGTAAAATGAGGAATCTTGCTCCCAGAGGAGAAACACGGGTGAGCCAACGAGGAGACTGGGAGTTAAAGGTTACGAGCCTTCGCCTGCTCCCATGGCAGAACTCCCACGGAAATGGGATCAAGCACTCAGGGTGCATGCAAAATTGCTATCCAAATCACAGCCCATCAGTACCTTTTTGGCCTAATAGCCTTGACATGTCTCCCTTTGACTATATATCGTGTTCTCTAAAACCCATAATGCCTCCTTTGGAAAGGTTACAGGCCATCAAGAAAGGGCAGAGAGCAAACATCATAAACCCCTCTCTTCAGAGTTCTGTTTCTTGGTCTTGTCAACAGGAAAAGAAATCGTATGCTGCGGTTCCGCTGTGGCTGTGATGATGGCTGACCCCCAGATTCCTGGAACTGAAAAGTTACTGGGAAATGATTTCTCTCCCCCTCTCTTTTCAGTTTCTGGGCAGCTGTGCTTCCTGTCTCATGCACTCTTTGGAGGGCTGGGGATGCTCTCGTGTATGCTCTTCCAGGGCCTGTAGGAGGGTGCTCAGCTGACACAGCAGAATTGCTGTACCCTTCCAAGTTTGGGGCTAGGAGGCTGTTTCCTGGGATGCCTGTGCCAAGCCAAGGGGCACCAGGAGCCGAGACCCTTTCCTCACTC